TGCTGATGCTGTGCTGTGCTGTTGCCGCTGTGCGAGTGCTCATTGCACTGAGCAGGAGCAGCAGCAGCCGTTGCCCCAGCCGCCTCTTCTCTTTCTTTCTGTGGGTATTGAAATTACTTGGCATGTAATTAGTTTGCTTCGTTTTTTGTGTCTTTTTGTAGCTACGAGTATGTATGTGTGTCTTCGTACGTATCTTGTCGATCGCTGCGTGTGGCATCCCCCCGTCAATGATGGATGCAACATGTTCCCCTGCTTCTGGCCAAAGGTGTTATTTTTATGGCTTTATAATGTGAGTCAGTTGGGTTGCCTGCTGCCCCGTTATGTGGCCTGTCAATCACTTGACGTGGCTTTATAATTTGCACAATGGCCAAGAACGAAACGAAACGAAACGAAAGAACAGATGGAGAACGAGAACGAAAGCAGGAAAGGAACTGAACCGAAGGAAAGGAAATGATTGCTGCAGAGCAGAACTGTGGTGCAGCTATGGCCAAGATGCCTTCATGGAGGAAACCCATAAAAGAACGTATCTCATAGGTCAGAGGATGCATCTCTCAGGGAGAAAGTAAACTATGCCAAGGCACCAGATACTTCTGGCTTTTATTTGAAGCATCCCATGGATATTCATCCACTGAATGGATACTCCATCAAACCAGCTACCTTTTTGCCGTCTCTCTGCTCATATTCTACTTCATTTTCCTCTACTTCAGTATACATATAACTCTCTTGATCTCCACGTTCATCAACAATTTGAGTTTTCGATTTTCATGCCATGCCATGCCCCCTGCTGCCGCTTTCATCTCTCTCCCCGCCAGATACATTCTCCTGCAGTTATTGAGGTTTGGCTCGGTTCTGTTGTTTCCGTTTGTGCCACTTGTGTCCAGTTGAGTTGAAAATTATTGTGATTATGGTAAACTCTTGTTGCTTTTTCTGAGGCTGAGGCTGAGGCTGATGTTGATGCTGAGTCGATCTCAAGTCGGATCTGTGTGTGCACCTGCTGCTTTTGTGGCTCAGATTCCTCAACAGTTTGCAGTTTGCATACTGCCATACTGCCATACCACATGGCACCACACCACATGTGGAGCTGGCTGTAGTGTTTTATTGCTTTGGCTGTGGCTTTGGCTTCGGGTTTGACTTGGGCCTGCTTGGTCTTTTCCATTGTTAGACTCGTTTGGCCGCCGCTTAATTGCCGCCTTGGATTCGTATTCGTATTCGGATTCGTATTTGTTTCTGATTCTGGATCTGTTTGCTCAGCTCTTTGCCATCGCAGTGCTAAACACAGCTCAGTGAGACGGTGTGGGGAGGGGAGGGTAGGGGAGAGGGATGTGCAGCATCCAGCACAGCTGCAGCTGCAAAGCGACTCTCACGAGGCGTGACTAATCAATCGACGAGACCAGCCAGGGCTTTTCTCTATCATCAATCGCATACGCGAGTCTGTATCTACATATGTATCTGTGTCTATTGCTATGTCTATGGCCAGGTCGAGTCATTCCCTTGATTGGCACTCCAATGTCGAATTCATCTTTTATTTTTGATGTTTTTCGTGTGTGTGTGTGGATGGGACGCGCCCTGCCCTGCCCTGCCCTACCCTGCCCTCTGCCTAAAAGCAAAGGCGTGCTTTTGTGGAGGGATAGCCATCGGAATCTGTACCTCTTTTGGCATTGCATTTGGGACTACGTCTCTGTGTGTGTGTGTGTGTGTGTGTGTGTGTGTGTGTGTGTGTGTGTGCAGCATGTGGCAGATAAATCTCTTGCATAAAGTGCGCTCAGACATCAGACATTCAGGTCTCGTCGCTTTGCTGCGTCCCACATCTACGCTGAGCAGCAAGCACCAAAACTCGATGCTAATCAAACGAAACTTTGGAGACTTTCCCAAAAGCCAAAAACTTCATATTTGACCTTCAAATTGTGGCTGCTCGCTGATGTGGCAGCTACGCCCCCCTATAGCCTCTAAGGCCCCTAAAGCCAGTCGCACACACACACCGAAAAAGTGGCTGCCATTTCACTCAACGGAGTTGGAGTCGGAGTCTCGTAGCCTTAGCCGTAGCCGTAGCCTCGTGGCTGGGAGTCGAAGTTGAAGTTGAGTTCTTCACGACAGACGTGCAATCTATCAAAGCTTCTGTGGCTGTGGCAGCATCGGAAGGGGGGTGGGGCAAGAGCATAATACATAATAATATTTGTGCAAAGTGTTAAGGCAACAAAACAGCAGACAGTAGCAGACATACTCAGACGATAGCGGCAGGGAGGAGTAGCAGCAGCAGCAGCAGCAGCAGGAGGAGAAGGATCTCCATCCGCAGCTACTGGATGACCAAGGAAGAACATCTAAACAGCCACCAGAAGATGGGGCAGACCTCAGGGGCAGGATCAGTAGAGCAGAGGAACAGAGGCAGAGTTTAGGTGGAAGGAACGACAACGGACGACTGACGACGGACGACGGACGACGACGACAACGTTTTGTTTTAATTTACTCGACGCCGCCGCCAACGACATTGTTGTTGTTGTTGTTGTTGCTGTTGCTGTTGCGGTTGCTGCTGCCTTCGATGTTGATGTTGCTGTTGCTGTTGGGTTTCCTGTTTAGATAGTTTTTTGTGATTTTATGCGATACACCTTCCATGTACAACTGTTAGACGGTGGCTTGGACACGGGGCACGGGGCACGGGGCAAGGGACTGTGCCAGGGACTGTGGCAGGGACTGGGGCTGCTGCTGTTCGTCCACTTTGATGTACGTACACTTTGAAATGTTGTTGATGAGTACGCGAGATTTTTAAAAGATTGCAACACGGCAGCAGCAACGGCAGATGAGCCAGATGAGGCAGGGCAGTGGCTGCGACTAAGGCAGCGACTCTGTTGGCTTATATAATAAATTTTAATGCACGCCCGCCCTGGACAAAGCGGATGGACGTGGAGCAGTCCCTGCCCCTGCCCCCCTGCCACAGCTTACAGTGGCTGCACATTAATTGAAAAGGTTTCCTTTTGGCCATCGTTTGAACCAAAGCGGGGATTTCCTTCGTTCGGCTCCACTGTACAACACTTATGACTTATGCTGGCCCTTTGCTGCTCGCCTGACACTTTGCTTGGCCACAACAAGAACAGTTTCATTAGCCTGGCCCAAAGCCTTGGCAAACATGCAGCGTAAGTCGCAAACAAAACCAAAACAAAAGACTCGGGAAACGAACTCGAAGCTGAAACTAAATCAAAGTTTAGTTTAGTTTAGGTCTTCGGCAATTATATCAATTAACTAAAGACCCGACTACGGCATGGGGGGCACACACAGCCGCAAGAGGGACAGGGGCAATTTTGGGGGCTGGACCTGGGAGACGCCCCGACAGAGAGGAAAAGAGCCAGTCATTGAGGCACAGCCAGGGGCAATTATAGAGCATAAAACATCGATAATCATAATAATTAAGGATGACTGGTCAGAAAGCCAGGCGGAAAGACAGCCAAGGAGCTGCCTGCTGCCTGCTACCTGCTACCTGTGACAACGCACACAGTAGCCCCACATCCCAGAAGATTACAGAGGAAGACGGTGGTGGAGTGGAGTGGAGTGCAGATGCTGCTGTTGCACATAAATTGGTAATTAAAGCCTATTTAGAGGTTTTAGGAACCCCAAAACGTTTATTCTTCTTTAGGCATTGCCATGATTTGTGCATTTAGAAAGTGTATACCATTCCCCAACGGATACCTCCAACTATTGTTCGTGAATGAAAAGAACCAACCAAAGATCATTTCTTTTCATCATAATTCTATAAAAGATGTTCCTCAATCAAGAATCATGGCTCCATACAAAAGCCCCGAAAGAGGTTGACTTCTTCTTTGAACCAAAACAGAACGAATCAAACAGAAAACCCAACAAAAAAAATGGCAGAAACTGTAACAAATTTATTTGTGAAGTTCGCCCCGACTTTTGTCTGCTTTAGGTATCATTTTTTTTCAATAGATAAATCGCTTTTTGTTGGCTATTTTGGCAAGACAACAGACAAACAGCACAAACAGCACGAACAATTGGCAATTTGCTGGGAATTGTGTTGACACAAATGAGGGGAAATATCAATTTCCATTGAGCCAAAATGCTCGGCCAAATGCCGCACCAATGGATGTGTGAATTGTGGCTGCAGGCCACAGATGTAGATAGATATCTAATTAAATAATGGCTAATGATCCGAACAAGACCAAAATGGGTTGCAGATACAAATGATTCATGGGATTTGGGGCACGCTTAACCATAAGCATAAGCGTAGGGCGAAGCGAACAAAGAGCTGGCCATAAACTTGACCCACAAAGATCATGAATCACTTTTCTTGATGCTCTTTATTTTTGGATGAGGATGAGGCCAAGAAAATGAAGAAATATTACAGCCAGAAAACACTGGCAGTCAAAAAACGTTGCAAAAATAAATGACTAAGTGAAAAGAAGAGAAAAACACAACGAAAAAAAAGGGGTAAAAGTTAATTTGAAGATGATTTATGCACTCTCCTGGAAATCATTCTCAACGGTAATATCATAATATCATCAGGGAATCCAGGCTGGGATGGAAATCATTCTCAAGATCTGAAAGTATCTGAAAGTCCACTCAACCAAACTAAAACCAAACCCCAGAGACAAATTCAATTTCACTTTGGCACCCAACCCATTTCATGCATGAATTGTGCACTAGGGGGAAAACTACGACGAGTATTGTACGAGTATTCACAATTTTCTTGTGGCATTTCTACCATTTAATTTTCTCAGATTTTCACTTTTTCAAATGTTTTTCTGTTGGTTGTCATTTGTAAAGGTTTCGGTTTCTCTGGTTTTTTTTTTGTAATTTTATATTTTTGATTAACAAAACCGAAACTTGTTGTGCAGTTAAGCAGCAAGACCCCACACTCGTAAAAGCCATAACTGGAGCATGAAAACTTGTCAAATGAATGATACTCGTATACGTGCGAATGCGAGTATCTTTGGAATTCTCAGCTTTCCTTTGACTTCTTTCCGACTGCCATGGAAATAAAAGGCAATAATTACAGGCAAATCGATTGGCCAGGCTCTAATGATCGTGATGATCATTAGCTGATCTGCGAGAGATATTTGCTTTCAAGATTTGCAGAGCCAACAAATGGCCAAATGGTCGCATAATTGCTTGACAAATATCTCAGATTGTTTTTGTGGGTTTCACACTTACCTCTTAATGGGTTTCGGCTGCTTTCGGAATTTGGGTGGATTTGGGTGTTTCGTCAGAGATCTGCAAAGAATCGAAGAGAAAGAAAACTCCAATTAGGTTTCCAAATCGATTTGCGAATCAAAAAATATCCTCCATCGTGCCATCGAGCCACATGAGCACATAAATCAGGAAACTTCATTAAAACGACTGCCAAAATCTACGAATATAAATCTAAGCTGCAAGTGTTGCACTTGCCACTGCAACCTGCAGCAACACTACGTGACCAAGAGCCAAAGAGAGGGGGGCAGGAGACAGGAGACGGGGAACTGGGAACAGAGGAATAAATAACTCAATTTAGGAACGGCAAAAAAAGTGTTAACTTGAATTTTGCCAATAAATCAATGGAGTGGAGGGACCGCGGCTCGTGATTAGCGATCCCCCCGCTCGCCACGATGGCTGCTTATCGCTTCGTTCGTCCCCGTTGAAAAGTAATTCCCCCCTCGACTGATTCCGGAAGACTTCTTCCAATCATCATCGCCAGAGAGAGCGGCAGCAGCAGGAGATCGGATCGGATGGGGGAAACACGAAACGAGATACGAGATTGGGCAGCCGTCAGGCCGCCTGACAGGCAATAACTTTGGCAATCTTTTTCGGCCAAGCTTTTGGTTTCTTCTCCCTTTTTGGCCGAAATCCCATAAGCGTTGAGTTGTTTATTATAAATATTACAAGAGTTTCGGCTCCGAATGGGCAATTTTGCATGCTTCACGCTTGTCAAAGTGTCTCGCAGATACATCTGCGTGTCTTTTGGATCTCGCAGATCTCGCAGATCTCAATCTTCTGTCTGATTTTGCTGTTGAACCATCCATCAAATCAAATTGAAATTAATTTCCGATGCCACCATATTAATTGAAATACATTCGATTAAAGTTGTGCAAATATTGTATTTATGAATTCCCATTTCTTAAATTAAACCAACTTGTTTGACATTTGCTTTTAGTTCTAAAATTCAATTAAAATTCTGATTGGTACATGACAAAATATTAATTAAAATAATTGTTAAATTCACGGCAATTATCTATAAATAATTCACGGCAATTACAAAATATGATCAGATATTTTCCGCGCTGAATTAAACCTTAAGCCAAGCATTTTATTTGGTGGATGGTTGTCGATGTCTGGGGCCCGAATTCGAGGGGGTTTCAGTTCGGACAGACGGTTTGGACGGTTCTTAAATCCAATCCGGTTCTTATGTGATTATTATGCGACTTGCGACCGGTTTGCAAGGCAAACAGTTTATAATTTTATGCCGTTTTATTTTGCATTTTTGTGTTTTATTTTTATCTCTTACTTTTTTGTGTGAAATATTTTTTTATTTGCTGCCGTTCGATTTTCTGGGTGAATTTTAACATTTTAAACGCATTTGACACACATGTCGGCCCTTGTCCTATCCCGAGACCCATTCGCACTCCACATCCCCCCCTCAAATCCATCTTAATTTAACTGTAAAACTTCAGTTTATTCGGTTTGTATGCTTCCGATTCCATATTTGGTTGCTTTTCGTTTACATAATGGAATGTTTGGCATGAAATTAACATCTATATGGTCTTTGGTCTCTCATAATGGATCTCTCTGTCTCTATTTCGGCGTGGGGGAAATCTATCTATCTACGCTGATTGTATTTGCTCAAATGATGGGCTTAAAGATCTTTAAAGATGCTCCAACTTTCTTTGCTTCCGCATTCAGACAAGACCAGACCAGAGCCGACCCTTGGGGCTTGCTATATCTTCCGCATATGAGTGGGGAAACGATGGTTACCGCAATTTATTACCCCGGAAAACTCAAGGTTAACTCCACTTGCCGTTGGTTTTCCATTTCCCCGTGCGAAAACATTGCGAAAACGCAACACAGACGCAGCGCAACAAAAGGAAAATCATTAAATATCATATATAGTATGAATTTGCAACTGTTGGTGGCAGACAATGAGAAAGAGAGAGAACGAGAGAGAGAGAGGGATGATAATGATGGTGGTTCCATATATGGCCAAGAGAAAGAAAGAAATGTCCGAAAGAAGAAGCCGCTGCTGCGTTAATTATATGTGCATTTAATGCTTTAATTAATGTTTTCTATCGAGAGACGACGCGCACTGCAGTGAAAGTTATAAGCACTCAACGGAGAGCTACTTTCAGAGATATAGATACAGATACACTGTACACTGTATCTGATCATAAATACTCGTATAATTCAAATGGTAATTGATAAACCTGCTAACTTGTTGTGCGTGTGCGTATGCGTGTGGGGGTATGCTTGTGCGAGTGTTGGCCAAATATTCGCCAGCTGAAACTGAAACTGAGATTGAATCGAAAAGAGGGTGAAACTGTGGCCCCGATTGAAAGTGGTGTATCTTGAGGATGTTTCTATGGGATTGTGGGCGGTGGATCTACAAGTGGATTCGATTGTTGAATGAACTACGGATTAGGGAAAGAAATCTTCGTAGCTCTGTGTGCAGATAGAGATCTATCTATATTTGGCAGAGAACAAATACAAAGAAAAGTGAGTGAAGAGGCTGCAAACCGCTTTGATCAATAATTTGAAGTGTTAGGACTGAATTTTGAATGAATGTTGAATATTCAAAGATATAGAAAAAGTCTTATAATAAGTCACAGAAACAGTTAGTTTGATGACTTAACTGAAAAGAGATTCGGTAGAAAGGTTCCCCCGAAAACAGTTAAGACTTGAAATTGGTTCAAACTGCACATAATTTGGTCATAATTTGCGCACAAATTGATTCCGCGATGGCTATCAAAAATGATATAAAAGCGGTTCTCGATACTTTGAATCGGTAATGAAACGGTAGTTCCCTTTCAAAACATTTGTGTAGGAAACTTGTGGCACAAATATTCATATAAATCAATCGCGTTTTATGGTTTTATTTCTATTCAAATACAGCCAGGGCCAGGGCCAAACAGACGCTAATTTAAACAAATGTTTTATTAATGAACAAGCGAACTCTGTGCCGAAAGAACCCTCCACTCCAATAATGTGGAATCAGGTGAATATATGATGCCATAACCTATTCTATCTCGAGGGAACAAGGGCTTAACTCAGGGCAACAATGAGATCTATGGACAGGTTATTTCTGGGTTCATTCGGCACCTGCTTGTTAGTTGCTGCTTCTGGTTGTGTTTCTATTGCCATTATCCATTATCCATTATCCAATATCCATCCACACAAAGCGAGATGGAGATCGAAAGACTGAGGGAAATTTGCAATTTTAATGACGTTCGGGTAAGGTTTTGCTGCTGAACCGCAAACCTTATATAACCCGCGCGGAGTGCAAACCTCAGAGAAACCTCCCGGACGGTCAGGCGAAGGGGGGTCTTGGTCTTGGTCCGAGACTCCGACTTGGACACGGCCTGAAGCTCTGTCTCGGTGTCTATCTGTGGCGTTAGCTCATAATGGCAACACACACTGTTTATGGCCCAAGCGAAACGTGCACTTGGCCCGGCCCGGCCCATCCCCCACTCTCTCCGTTTTCCTCGGCCATAAACCAAGAAACAAGAAATTTCAATTTTAAATTTAAAGCGTCTAACTTTCGCTTTCCTCCGCTGCAAGGAGAGACCCAGAGATCTCTGGGAGATTTCTTGTTTCTCGCAGAGAATTCCTCCGCGCAGTTACAGCATTTTGCAGGCAGGCAGCAATTAGCGGATAGACCGCAGGAATCCACACACACACACACACACAAAATAATAAATCAAAACCCAATAAAAATTTAACAAAAATTTGTTGCATGTGCTAATGCGAGAGATGTGGTTGTTGCAACCGGTTGCAGCCCAACCAAAAAAAAAAAAGATGGAAACAAGCAGCGAAACCCCAAGTCCCTGCCTCTGCTCCAGCCACGAATCCCCAAAACAAAACTGCAAACGACAGCCAGACGACGACGACTTTCCATTTTCAAATGCTGTGTTTGCTGCGGTGCGGTATGGCAGGAGGGAGAGGAGTGTGTGGCGTGTGGCATGTGCTTTGCTGGGTCTGCAGCCTTCGGGGGGAGTGGGCAGCCCCTGACCAGCACTGGCCGGCCACTGCTGCAACATCGCAGCATCGACAGCAGCCACAACGGCAATGGCAACGGCAATGGCAACGGCAACGGCGACACAACAGCAACAACTTTTCATTTCGTTTTTCACGCGGCGCATGCCAAAAAAAAAAGGAAAAAGGAAAAAGGAGAAAGAAAGAAGCAGCCAAACTGCCAAACCAGCGGAAAAGATTTTAATAGAGAATCAAGTACGAGAAAATGTTGTACCAGAACTATGAGATGCGATTGGTAACACGCTTCCCCAGGGTGAGTCAGACTATGGTACTATGGTTCTTCTTTTATCGACTCGTGTGTTTGCCCTGAAAGCGTAGACAAAGTTCGACTGGATCCGTTGGATATTGATGATTTCGGAAAAGTGGATAACGCCGAGTCTTCGGCAATGTCTGAGCTCTGTCTACGCAGCTGGATGTCGTCTCTCTACCCCTTCCACGTCCCTTCCTGAAGTTGTAGTCGGAGTTGTGTGGCAAGTGGCAAGTGGCGGCGGCTGGCAATGTTGACAATTTTCAGCAGTTGTTGCTGCTGCTGTTGTGGCGGCTATAGTTGACCGGTCTTTGCCTTTCACGTGAGCAAATAAAACGAAGAAAAAAGACAGCAACAGTTGTGGAAGCAAACACTTCAAGAAGACGGCAACAATAGGGAGCATTTCCCCCATTTGGCCACCTTAAAAGTAGAAGCAGTGTTTCACTTGTTGCTGTTCCTATGATACCCTTTCAGAGAGGGTATCAAGTATTTCCTACACTCTTGATCGGATTACTATAGTAGTTGTGTCTTGTATGGAAGTGGTATCCAAAGGGGTATATCGGACTCCGAATATAGCCTTACTTTCTTGTTGTTTATGGCCATGTTGCTGGTGTCGTTAGACTCTCCCACGAGTACCGTCCACTTTGCTTTT